CTAGACTCACAGACCTTACAGTCTTTAGCCATGGCCTTTACTTTTGGTTATGATAGCTTTATTTTGAAGTGCATTTTCATCTGACTGGTACTATTCATTGGTAATTTAGTATCTTACCTATTTTGTGCTACAATAACAGAGTATCTCAGTCTCAGTAGTGTATAATGAATACAGAAATTTTGGATTTATAATTCTAGAGACTGGAAATGCCAAGATCTAGGTGTAGGAAGTACTATCATCATCCCATGGTAAATGGGCAGAGAGAGAAAGAAAGAGACAGAGACAGAGACAGCAAGAGAGAGAGAGAGTAAAAGAGAGCGAGATCAAATTCAACTTTTTTATAACCAACTCACTCCTATTATATTGGCTTTAATTCATTGTTTTTGGGAGGACATATTTGTACCTTAGCATTTTGTAAGGTTGATTTAGACATCTGATTGGCAAAGAAGAAATCAAATCAAATGCAATGCAGTTGCCAACTTGATTAAAATCTAAGTGAATAAGAAGTTTCTGTGATAGAATTTGGTTAGGGATTGAGGTAGGGAGGAAAACCCTTTTTTCTTCATGTTTCTGTTAAAATTTTGCTTTTTAATTAGCTTTAGCCTACTATGTGAATCAGCAGTCATCTTTTGTAGCTGATAGAGGTTTAGAACCAATGAAACTATTATTTCTAATCTTTTATAGCAAAATCTTTTTATAACTGATATTTATTATTTTTCTTTTCTTTTTTTATTTTTAATTTGGTACAAAGTCTGATTACACAGTGCTGACTCATAGTGATCCTCCTGTTTTTAGTCTTCCCTGTGCTAAGATTATAGGTATGCATCGCCATGCCCAGACTCAGTGACTGGCTCAGGGTGTACCAGGGTGCGGCTGGCATGGCATGTGGGTACCAGGGATCAAATCGTAGTCCCTGTGCTTAGTCTGGTGTTTAGTCTGCTGAGCTATCTCATGGCCTCTCATATAACTGATATTTCTAATGACACTTGTGCTTAATTTTAATTTTGTGTCATGACTTTTGTAATTTTTATTCCCTATATTACCATCATCAACAAATATTGAGTGTATCTATTGTGTATGAGTTGGGAAGAGTTGCTTACACTTGTTAGATTTTTGACAATTTACAAGGGCTTTTTGCACTTTTTTTCTTATCTAATTCCAATAACATTTTACCCATTTAAGTCTCTATTCTTTCATTTGTGCTGCAAATGTCTGCTTATATAACCACTTTCCAGTAACTTACTGTCTAGGCAAGCAAAGTTAGGAGAAAATTAAAAAATCATGTAGCGATAATGCAAATGATCTATTTGAAGGCTTATATAGGCTGTGTTAGGGAAAGTTGCTGTTAAAAGAATTGTGGGTTTTGAGGGGCATTTGACTTCTGGGGAGACAAATTGAGATCTGAAGGATTGGTAGGCAGAGAGAGAGTCCTGCATTTGGGAGTCTTGTCTTTCCAAGACACAGTAGTGAGTGTGCAAACCATGTTTCCAGGGTGCATGAAGAAACCAGCATGACTGGATTGAGGTTAAGTCTGAATTCCATTACTGTATATTTAAAAATCTAAGACTGTAGAATATTTAGAAACCATTGAAAGTTATTTATTCCAACTCATATGTGTGTATTTATTCCAACTATTTGAACTCATATGTGTCTCATATAGATGTGTTTTTTGTAGAGCAGTCCATTTGTTTTCTGTTTTTATATCAAAGGAAGTTATTTATGCTATTTTTGGTTTTCAAAAAATAACCTAGTTTCTTCACTATATATTCCCTTGGTAATTCTATTCTGATTAGATTTTATGTTGATGAATGAGATAGATTTGTTTTGGGTTTCTTTTTCCTGTTTATAACCATGCTGTGTGACCATTTGGGATGATTTTTATTAAGTATTAATAATTTTTGTGTTAAGAGTTTTTTTTTGGTGGTGTGTGTGCTATGAATTGAGTGAACCTGGGACTTTCTCATGGTAAGCAAGTGTTCATTCAATGAGGTTCATACCCAGCCCCTATTAGTCTCAGTGTTTTCATTTTGCTTTTAACTTCATCATCTAGCAGAATATTAATATCATTGATTCAGACATAGTATGATAGGATGAATTTTTTTCAAATGAGAGGAAACATGTTATGATTTTTATATTAAGAGCCATAAATGTCATTACACACACACACACACACTTTTTTTCTTTCTTTCTTTCTTCTTTTTTTTTTGAGACAGGATCTCACTATGTAACCCAGACTAGCATTGAACTCACAGCAATCTTTTTGCCTCAGTCTCCTGAGTGCAAGGTTTTCTTACTGTTAAGAAAAGCTATGCACTGATTTGTTAATAGAAACAACTAATGCCAATGGTATTTATCTAGATTTTGATTCTGCTGGGTAATTTCTATAATCCAAGTATGTATTTTTGAAAATTCATATGTTTCTGTTTGTCCATCTCATCATCAGAGAGTATTATGATAATAAATTGAGATTTGTTGGTAATTGGTATCATACAAAGAACTATCACCAGAAAAAATGCTTATTTTAGAAAAAAAATGAATTTTTTTAGCTGTAGATTTCTAGGATTTTAATGAAATCCCCTAATTAGTATCCATGTTTCTTGCCAAAGTTGTTTTTTTAATATTTGATTAATTAATTAAATTATTTATTTACTTATTTACTTCGTACAGGGTCCCGCTACACAGTTTAGACTCATAGTGATCATCCTGTTTTAGCCTCCCCAGCACTGGGATTGCAGGAATACATGATCATGTCCTCTTTCAGTGACTGGTACAGCATGCCTGGAGCCTGGGGACAGCACGGCACATTGTACAGGTTATCAGTCTGGTCCTTGCACTTGCTAGGCAGGCACATAGACTGCCAGACTCTCTCCCAAGCCTGTAGAGTTCTGAAACTAAAAGAAATAACATATAGTACAAGAAAAATGAAATACCACTTTCCTACAAATAATAGGTACATTAAAGTGCATAACCTAGTTTGAGAATTAAATGGGCTTGCTAATTGCACATTAAAATTTAAAAAATGCTGGACTACTTCATTCCTTTTCTTTAAAAGTAATATTTTTATATCTAAACAACTCCTCCTGCTGCTCTTCATCATCATCATCATCATCATCATCATCATCATCATCATCATTAATGGTAGTGGTGGTGGTGGTAGTAGTAGTGGTGGTAGTAGTAGTCATAGTAGTAGTCGTAGTAGTAGTCGTAGTAGTAATAGTAGTAGTAGTAGTAGTATTTGTGATACTGGGCATTGATCCCAGGGTCTCAAGCTTGTAGGGAAACACTTTACAACTGAGTTACAGTGTGAGTCGTACAGTTCAGCTTATACAAGGCAACATTTCCTAGCTGCAAGGCATTCTTCTTTCCTATTTAAGTGGAACTAGGGGCTTGCTAATCCACTAATGCTCACCTTTTTCATCTCATTTATCACCAATCAAAGGAATTACTTCATTTCCCTGGAGTGGAATAAGAGACATTAATTGAATTTCTTTTTTAATGAAAAAAATGTGATGTGGGTAGTAGTGGAAGCATTTCTCCCCAAATCCAGTGATACATACATTTTTCTACATTCTAACCTCTGAAGTCAAGATGTATCTTAAATGAGTGGCACCTAAGTGACTGTCTATCTTTGGAAAGTAGTCATAGTGACTGCTGTTGACTCAGTATCAGGAATTTTGGTACTTACTTTTTGCCTTATAACCTCCAATGTTTCACTTAATTAATCAGTTAATATCCATTTCAAGAAGGAATACAAGTTCTGGCAGGTAAAGGCCAAGCTTCTGTTTATATCTAACATCATCAAAGATGTACCAGCTTTATATTTTGCAGAATGGGTATCAGCAGCTTGGAATAAATTGTTAAAAGCAACATGGAACACTTCTTTAAGATACCTACATTTGTGGTGTTATACAGTGACACTTAAAAAACAAAAACATTGATTACTCTGAATCAGTCATACAGAAGAGGTAGATGATTATAGAGTTTTAAATGTGACACAAGTTTATGTTCTGTTTCCTTATTGAATGTGTATCAGAGATGTATCGTAAACCTCTCTTTTCTTGAGAAAGCTTAAAAAGCTTCCCAATCTGAAAAAAAAAATTTTTTTTTCAAAAAATTGTACAAAGTTTAGACATTTTTTTTCTAGTAGTACATAAAATAAGTGTGTATCTTACAGATAGTGGGATCTTAAATTTAATCAAACTGGTCAGCTAAGTTTATGAGTCTCCTCTTCAGTCTTTGTATCCTGAAATTACTAAATGGCATGTCTTTCTCTTTAAGTTTCATGTTAACTGTCCGACCTGGAGACTGGGGAATAGAGATTGAAATTTTAATCTTTATTGAGTTATGAACTTGTGCTCTTGGTTTTAGGGTGTCATTTTTTTTTTTTTTACTTAGGCTTCTTTTCATTTTCTCACTCCCAAGTGAATGTTGTCATCCATAGAATAATGGAGTTAGAAAAGACTGGATCAAGCTATTGAAAATAATTTTTATATATTGAAGATAATTTGTTTTCAAAGAGCATCCTTATGACAGTATAACTTATAGATAGTGTCTTAGTTATTCTTCTCTCATAGCTAGGACAAACACCTGACACTCAGAATGAAGGAAGGAAAGGTTTATTTAACTCACAGTTACTGGAGGTTTCAGTCCTTACTTGGCTGGCTCCAAGGTAGAGCCACACATGGCAGAGAGCAACCTTTCCTGGCAGAGGCAAAGAGCAGAGAGCAAAGGGAGTGGCAGCAGCACAGACAACTAGCTAGCCTCTCTTCCCTCCTTGCATTGTAATGCAAATTTCTCACCCCAAGGCTAGAGTGATGACTCAAACCTGCATTTCCAGCATTGGATCAAGAATCAATCACAAACTCCAGGAGCCAAGCCACCTCATGACTGCATGAAGCTTTGTTGGGGACATATATACACAAACCATAACAGATAAACTTGGTATATTTATTTGTTTAAAAACATGCCAATAAGCTAAATTTCTCTTTTTTTTCTACAAGGGGGTCCTGATGACAACTTAATTGAAGGTGGAGGAACAAAATTTGTCTGCAAACCTGGAGCCAGAAACATTACTGTCATATTTCACCCATTACTAAGGTAAGTCAGTCTCCTTGATGTACTTACTGGAGGTCAGTATTTTCATTATTTATATTTATGTACCAATGCTGCTGCCAATAGTCCCATTAGCACTGGAACAAGACATACAAAAAACCAAAGAACTCTTCAAAGCACTTTGTTCTTTTCCTAGGGCCTCACAGTGTTGATCAGTAGAACAGATAGTGTCAGCCTCACAAATAGTACTTATTCTCAGGAGTAATAGTTTGTTAATACTTTTTGACTTTCTTTCCTATTTACAAGTCTTCTTGTTCTTCTCTCTGCTTCTTCCTTTCCTCTTTTTGTTCCGTTTTAGGAGTTGGTAAACTGAGGTTCATTGGAGAATTCTAACTTGCCACTAGGTTTTTTTTGTAATAATTTTTTTTACTATATAAAAACCCCAAAATTTCAAAAGAAAAATAATGAGAGTAACAATAGTTATGTGTCTTCACTTCAGTGCAGTTATTTGGAGTATAAGACTTAGACCAAAAAAAAATTGTCTTACAAAGAAAGATAATAGCACTACCTTTCTTTTTAATGAATTAAGAAAAACTAGTAGCATAATTGAAATAAATTAGCATATATATTAAAATATTTTTGCTATGGTGGAAGAAGTAATTTGAAGGAATATTTGAACATCACTGAACTTCCTATTTTATATATATATATATATATATATATATATATATATAGTACATCCACACAATTTTTAAAGAACTTTTAAGATTTAGATATCTAATGTAATACAATTTGGTGTGCTTTCTATGAAGCGCTATACTGTTCAACTTCTCTATTGCTGGGACACAATACCTAATGATACCCACAGTACAAAGGGAGCAAAGGGAGAGACACTTTATTTTGCTCATGGTTTCAGAGGATTAAGTTCCTGGTCAGCTAACTCCAAGACATCAACATCCTGGCAGAATGATAGGGTAGGTCAGAGTTACTCACTTCCTGTCAGCCAGGAAGCAGAGCACCACAGGAGATATGCCCTTCAGAGGCACACCCCCACTCCCCAGGACCTGCCTCCACATGGGTCTCCCCCCTAGCAGCACATTCAGTTAGGCACCCTCATGATGGAGTGACCTCTCCTCAAGTCTCCTGTCTAGTGAAGTTGACAATCAATTTAATCATCAAAGGAACAATTATACATTGTGCTGTGTTTTCATTTAATGGAACAAATTCTGTGAGTTCACTATGTTTGATTGTTTCTAAGAATAACACCTCAGCTTCCTAAAGTAAAGTCTGCAAAATCAGGCATTTGTAATAGCAGTGAAACAAAAGGTAATGAATTAGCTAGAGACAATACTATGTGTACTTTTCTAAAACATTTAGTGGTTTAACTGGAATTTTTCCATCTTCCCATTAAACAAGACTTAGCAAATTGTTATCATGAATGGTTAAGTTCAAGTCTCTCTGGTAGACAGACATTATTTGAGTGTTTCTAGTTGCTTTTAAAGGTAAAAATAGAAATATATAGAGTGAACTAAATCATACTTTCATAATACAGTTTTGAAAAAGTGTTTTTAACCTTTAAAAAATTGTTTTGACAAATATCTGTAGCAAGGAACTTGATTTGAAAATCATGGTATCAAAGGACTGAATACTTTTTAAGACTGCTCTTCTTGGTTTAGTTTATATTGCATATATATTATATAGTAGATAAAACATCAAATTTTAACATTAAATGATACTGTTGATATATATCAGTTGACTTTACTAATTAGTATTCACTGTCTCTGTAATTACAATTGATTTACACTTAGTATTGCTAATGGTCAAGAAAAATACCTTAATCATTATACTTATCATTTAACCTAGATATTGTGACATAATTAACTGCTGTCTTATATGGAGTCAGTGATGGCAGACCTTTCAGAGCTTTTAGTGATACATATAGCCCGCTGTGGCACTTAGGCCAACACCGCTAGAGATGGAATCCTTCTTGCATTTGTTTCAAGTAGAGAAGAAACCCAATGTGGGCTATTTAGTATTGTCAAGCACTTTTCAAGAGACTTTTTTGTATGAGAGGTTTTTAATACTATGAAGCAGCAAATGTATTTTAGTACACATTTAGGCTACATTTCATATAGAAGACTAGTAATTCAATGTATTACAGTTTTTGACTTTTTAAAATCATAATATGTACTTTGGTTTGCTAAAGGGTTGTTTTAAACCTGATTAATACTCCCACTCATCTTTCTTATTTGATGTCTACTTTCATTCAGAATTTTAATTGGTTATTGGTAAGAACATAGAGAAGCTTCTTTTTACATGATATAAATAGCTTATTCATTTTTTCTCTGTTTCAATGGAAGTAACAAGAATATTATGTGATATGCAAGGTAATTTAATCCTGTGATAAGTTAATTCTGTTAATTCTGTGATAAGCAAATGACCACTTTAAAATGCAAATTGAGCTTTGTGTTTCAAAGTCATTAAACAGTTTTAGCTAAAAACTCAATGTGCTGTTGAACTTCAACTTACTATGGTTTCATGGATATTTTAAAACCTTTCTTAATATTTAGATATTTTTCTGAGTGTTTGATTTATTATTCCTTCAGTTTAGCAGTTGAGTGTTTAAAATGATAAAGTTATAATAATTGATAAGGATTATAATTTTTCTTCATAATTTCAACATAATAGTAAGTGTAGAAAGAACTTATCACAAACTATCAGACTACCTAGTTAAGTGTATTTCTTTGCTTCCTTGCTTTTAGTGAACACATTCGCACACACATATTTGTTGTTACTGTTATTATTATTTTTGTATTTAGCACAGGGTCTACAGGTTCTCCCTACGCAGATCTGACTCATAGTGATCTTCCTGTTTTCAGCCTCCAAAGTGCTGGGATTACAGGCACGCACCACCATGATCAGTCTCCTTCACAATCTCAGTGTGCCTTGAGATGGGCTGGCATGGCACACCAGGAATTGAACCCCAGCCTCTGGGCCTGCCTAAGCAAACACAGTAATCTGCTGAGCTATCTGGCCAGAATAATAATAATAATAATAATAATAATAATAATAATATTAGACCTCATGGAATTTAGTGGAAGAGTCAAACTAAATCAGGACGCGAGTAGATATGGAAAATAATATCAAGTAATACTGATTAGAAATGATAGTTCTGTGAAGAGCAACAAAGAAAAGTCCAAATTAGATAGTGACCAGTGGTGCACATGAGGACACTGTTTTGTATAAAATGAATAGAAAGGTCTTTTGGAAAACATAGCATTTGATTAGATCTGAAAATGAAGTGACAGGGAAAGCCATATGTATATATAGAAGACAATGACCTAGCTAGAGCAAATCTTGAGCGAAAGGAAAAAAAGGAATATGTTCAAAGGACAAAGACTGATGTAAATAGGGATATGTTCTGAAGAGCACATGTTGGAGGATATTTTACTCAGAATAGTCAACATAAAAATTGTTCATTTTGCACAAACAAGGAGATCATTATACTTTGATTTACAAGACGTTTTAGGACTACAGTACAATGGTTGTAAAGATGGAAAAGGAGAGAAAGGCTGATAATACAGGATACCAGGAGAAATTTTCTAAGACTTGATTTTTCTGGATTTGAGGTACTATAGAACTGCTCTTTTTAGTTGTCATCTTTACTTCTCTGTTTTATGGTAAAAATGATTCATTCTTCCAATAATTATATATCCAGAAATAGAATATATAATTGAATGTAGCTCATTTTGATGGTATTACCCAATGATACTGGAAAAATGTTACTGTAAGATTAGTTTATTGAGATTTAGTAAGAACTTATCCTGTTTAGTTCAGATAAATGAGGGTTCTCAAGGGATACTTACAACCAAAGTAGTTTTTGTTTTTTTTTTCCCCCCTTAAAGAAATGAGTATGCCAGCCAGCCCCGCCCTCTGGTGGGCTGAGCTGGCCACACACACACACACACAAATAAATAAATTAATTAAAAATAATAATAATAATAATAAAAAGAAATGAGTGATTTATTGGTCTGTTTTACAGAGGGCCTGATTTATTTCTGTTTTTTGTTTTTGTAATAAGATTTTCCATCAAATCTATAATAATTTATTATAGAGAGTAATTCGAGAGAAGTCTATGTTTACAGTTACATACATTAGTATAAAGTTGGTCTAATAGAAAAGGTCTTTGTAAATTTTTTAGCAGTGTTACTATGAATAATTGAATAAGGTAAGACCACTTAAGATTTTCAGAACTCCAATCTATACTTCTATAACATCTCGAATTCTTGCCCTTTTTCCCCACTTCCTTTCTTAAAACTAATTCTGTTGGGATGGTATGAAATAGTGGTCCAGTTATATGTTCTATATAAATGGGATACAAAATAAATATTTTCTTAAAAAGTAAGTTGTATGTGGTGGCCGGGGAGATGGCTCAATAGAATAAGTGCTTCCCTGGCAAGTACAAGCATCTGAGTTCAATCTCCGGTTCCACACACAAAAAAAAAGTAAGTTGTAGGAGTACTGATAAATATTTTATTTGTCATCTGATATGAACAAAAATATAAAAAAAATTCATTTTTAGTAATGGCCTTGAAATAGATCAGTCTTTTACACCTAACAAATGTACAGTAGTCACATATTTTCTATAGGATCTTATTTCAAGTTCAGTAGACTTTTAAAACTACAGATGGTATCTAGCCCTATATATGCCTTTTTCCTGTATATACATACTTATGATAAAGTTTAATTTATAAATTAGGCATAGTAATTAACAGTAACTATTAATATAGAATAACTAGAACCAGGAAAATAACCCATTGGTGGAACACTTACCTAGTACTTGCAAAGTCCTCAATTCAGTAGCCAACATGGAGAAAAACAATCCAGAAAAACAAAAAACAAGAACAAGCAAACAAAATATCACACTGAAAAAAAAAACACACTGCAAGAATATATATTTATTTCTGGAATTTTCTATTTAATATTTGGATATTGCTGTAGACTATGAATAACTATGTAAACTGAAACCACAGTAAAGGGGATTG